AACAAATGGCAAGGTGGCTTGATATTTTGGTTTGTGGCTCACGGCCTTATTAAAAAACCCAATTAACTGTTTTAGAGTCTGGCAAGGAGAAGGGAATCAAGGCAATCTGTATTAGTTTTCTATCGCTGCATAAATTTCTAGCAACTTAGTGGCTTAAGACAATATCCATTTATCATCTCAGAGTTTCTGTAAGTCAGAAATCTGGGCAAGGCAATGCTATGCTCTCCACTCAGGGTTTCACAGGGCTGAAATCAAGGTGTCTGCAGGGCTATATTTCCACCTGGAGCTTAGGGTCCCCTTCGAGGCTCATGTAGCCGTTGGCAGAATTTGGTTCCTTGCAGATGTAGGACTGAGACGCCTGCTTTATTGCTGGCTGTTGGCAGGGGCACTCTCTCAGCTTCCAGAGGCTGCCCTCTCACAATGGGGTAGCTTACGTCTTCAACGCCAGCAGGAGAATCTCTCTCCAGCCACTAAGACAGTCATATATGACATAACTTAATTACTGGAGCGACTATCCCATGCCCTGCTCATAAACCTAATCAAACGAGTGATATCCCATAATTCACAGGTCACGCCTCCACTCAAGGGGAGCGGATCATACTGGGTGTGTACATTAGGCAGTGGGAATCCTGGGGTCCATCTTCGAATTCTGCCTACCACAGAATCCCTGCTAATAGTTAGAACGCACCTAAAGCAACGACCATCAAGCATTTAGAACAACTTAAAAGAAACGCACGTCTGCATTTTGCAAACTGGTGCACCAGCCTTCTGCACTACATGAAATAGATGTCCTTCTACAAAAAGCCTCCATGGTCAAATAAGTTTGGGAAAATGTGGGTTTAATGTTTAACACATTTCTTCACTGAATAGAGTATGGAATTTTCCCAAACATATCTAACCCAGGAAAGTTTTTTTGTATTTGTGCTAAATAAATCCACCACTTTATTAATATTACTGTAATATTAATATTATTAAGAAGCAGTTGTATTATTGCTCTTGTATTGTCATTTTATTTCCTCTACGATGCCTTTCCCGATCACCTTTGTCTACAAGATCCCTATTTCACTGAATTTCGGTAGCGCTGATGGTTTACCTTGCGTGATTGCCAGTTTGCTTATAATCGGAAAATATAAAATACATTAATTTTTTGATGGTGACCCCCTACTAAACTTAATCTCCTTGAAGGCTGGTGCTCTGGCTTAAAGACACAGCGTAGAGCACTGGAGGCAGCTGTGCAGTGGTGAAGCGTGTTAGCTGAGATTTCCGAGGATCAGAGCTAGCCGGGGGCAGTTCATCAGCACTGGCACTAATGAGCAAACCAGTTACCTTGCCTCTGAACCTCTCCTGGCTCACCTTTACATTAAGAGTGCTGCAAGAGATGATTTCTAAGGTCCCTTCCCATCTAATATTCCATACATGCCTGTCCCCAAGCCCTGCCCATCACATAGGTGTTTTTACAGAGCCTGGTCCACAGTGAGCGCTTGATAAATATTTGCTGACATTAGTTGCATGTTTGCATTGTTGTGGGTTTCAGTATTTTTATCAGCGCTCTTCTTCTGTGTTCTAGGAGGTTGCTAGCTTCCAGCTGGCCAGGGTGCTCACTCCCAGTCTTGGGCATCTAGCTTATACAATCCTCAGGCCACAAGTGACCACTAATGTTGGTTTGGCCTTGCCTTATGCTTCTGCAGCATAAGTAGTGACCTTCATCAACGGGACTGCAAGCACTCCCTAGAAGGTTCTCTGCCTTAAAATATCTTCCCTTCCCAACACCTGAAACTCCTGTAAAGATTCATTCTCTACCCTTTTCTCTCAAATCCCTATTACAACTCTAAGTAAATAATTGTTTGAGTAATTATTTTAAGTAAATAATTATATGAGTAATTATTTAATAACTCATCCACTAGAAGGTAAGCCACCTTGTAATAGGCATGTAGTAAAGCAAGAAATAAACTGCGGTAATGTCACTAAGACTTTGGAGATGTTTGTTACTGCGGCGTAACACAGCCTGCTTTGATATAGAAATGTTAGGAGCAAAGAACACGAGTTTTATATTTGACTACTAAGGGATTTTGTGCTTGTAGGGATTTCAGGTGATGATGCCTAAAGTCTTGCTGCTCAAGGTGTAGCAACAGACCCGCAGCATCAACAGCACCTGGGAGCTTGTTAGAGCTACAGACTCTTGGGCCCTACCCCAGACCTACTGACTCGGGATGCTGCACTTTAACAAGATCTCCAGATGATTCAAATGAAGATTAGAGTTTGAGGAGCACTGGCCTAAAGGCAGCTGGAAATGAAAGTCAGAAGCACCTGAAATAAATTTGAGCTGGAGGTATAACCGCCAGAGCAATCCATACAGCACAGGTTCTTGAAGTGTGGTTGGTCCTTGGACCAGCAGTATCACCATCACTTGGAAACTTTTTAGAAATGCAGATTCTTGGGCCTCAACCAGCACCTCTTGAGTTGGAAACTCTGTAAGTGGGACCCAGCAATCTGTGTCTTAACAGCCCTGCAGGTGTTTCTCTACACACTAAAGTGTGTGAGCCACTGCCATATATCAATGAGAATTGAAATTACAGGAGTTAAAATTCTCCTGAAAGAAGAGAGGAGGATGTGGACAGTAATAACATTGTTCCTATGAGAAAATACGACCGGCTCTATGATAATCTTTATGATGTATCTTCCAGAATGTACACCAGGAAAATCAAGGCCTTGCCATGAACTATTTTCATCACTGTGGGGGTGACCTCTCAACTCTGCTTACCTATTGAGTGGAAGTACTAGGTGCTCTGGGCAAAGATGGAGGGGACAGAAAGGGAGGTAGACATCAAAAATTGCTTTGCATTTTGCCTCCCTGATCCTGCTGGGCCTTATTACTCTTGGAGCACTGTGCTGAATGCTACAGGGGAACATTTCCAGCACATGCCCTTCCTGGGTACGAGTCCCCTGAGACAGATCCGTTCCTCTCCCTTTTATCAAGAATGCAGTAGAGAAAGGGGGAACCACAGATACTATACCCAAGAATCTGCACAGCCACATGCTAAGCCACACACGACCCCTGACCATGGCTCATTTTGGGACGCTATTGTTCCAGTGCCTTTGTTCATTTGTTCACCCGTTCCCTTCTTCATCTCATATTTAGCGAGTGACTTTCATGTGCAAGGCCAATGGAGAGGCCTCTTGCTCTGTGCTCAAAGAAGGGATTGAGTGGGGCACCAGCCAGGAAAGTCATGATTCTTCTCTCCATGTGAGACTCTCAATGATGCACTGAAGTCACCTCTCCTCCCACTTTAACCACAGAAAAGCCAGACTTAAGGCTGTATCTAGTATGTATCATATTGTGATTTCCTAGTTTCACTGTTCTCTTTTGCAAAGGGAAAAAAAGCAGAATTGAGAAGGCCAAGGAGGAAAATGCATTCACAGTGGACACAGAATATTTCCATCTCTACAGAGGTGCCTGCCTAGGCTGTGTGCTAACTCCTCATTTCACACGAGCAAAGTGATGCATCCAGGGTCGGGGGTGGCAGCTCTGGCTGCAAGTTAGAATCACCTGATGAGCCTGTAAAACTCTCAAGGCCAAGACCACTCCTCAGACCAATTAAACCAGAACCTCCTGGAGTGAGTCCCAGGCACCGGTATTTTAAGAAATTTTCTGGGTGATTCCGCTGCACAGGCAGGGCTGGGAACCACTGTTCCAGGAAGGGTCTGGGATCTCAGCTCTTGGCCCTTTGTGGAGCAGAGCTCCATCCCCTGAAGGTGAAAGTCCTAGTTTCCTGGGATTCTCAGCTCAACTTTTTCAACTTCAGGAGTTTGTTTCAGAATTCAAAGTGAGCTACTAAATTTAAACTATTGTGTTATAATGAATATTTAATTATCTTTTATATTTATACGGTTGCTACCAGACTTCAGACGCAGAATATTTAGTCAAAAGAACAATTCTTATTTTTTTCTTATTTAACAAGGTATGCTGGTCATAGATCTACTTTTTAATGAATAATTTCATTCATTACACAATTAGCACCGTTAAAACGTTGTTATTATGAACCATTGATAGAAGAAATGGAGTTATTTGCATGACACAATGTCAGTGGTCTGGGCTGCTGGGCCTGGGGTCTGGGTTTAGAGAGTGAGAAATTGACAGTGGCCTGGGAAATGAGAAGGACCCCTGCCAACCACCACTTTGCTCTTAACATCTATTATTTTCATTTTGATTCCTTTATATTTTGAAGTTTATTTTGGGCCTTATATGTCAATGCTATGGTAGGTTAAAAGTTGTTAAAATCATCATATTGGTAATATCACTGCACTTAGCATCAAAATCTCTAAATATCTTAAACCCAAGAAAAGTTAATCCATATTCATGGTGGCAGTGAAAGGAGAGGTGGAATATGCCTAAGTACTTACAGATTCAGAAAGATTCTCTCCAATTTTGGTGTTTTGAGAATGAGAATTATCAGCATGGGCATGAGTTTGTTAAAAAAGCAGATCTCGGGCCATATTCCAGGGCCAATGAATCAGAAACTGCATTGAAGCTCCCAAAATGATGCATACACAGTACATTTGAGAAGCACTGCCTTAGCCCATCTATGATATTTAGGAAATAGGAGCTAATCAAATTCACGCACAGAATTTATAGACGATGATAGATGTGAACAGTTTTTGATAACAAAGCAGCACAAAATATGAACTGAAAATTAGTAGTAAACACTTACTTGATTATAAAACAGTTGTGAGACTAGTAGAAAGAAAAGGCTACAGATGACATAAACAAATTGACCTTTTAAACTGGTGATATCAATTGTTACAGTATGAATTTGGCCATAATAAGATTACGAAGACAGAAGAAACATTCCATGCCATGGTCTGGATTTGAGACAGAACCCACATGTGCTAAAATCTCACGTTTGGGATGTCTATCACAGTAACTGGTTCTGTTGCTTCCTTGTTTTCTCTCTTACATCGCCCATTGCCTAGAAAGCCCATTTCTCAGTATACCCTCTTACCTCTTGGGGTTGTTGATACCGAGAGGCCATCAGAAGGAAAGCCCGCTGGGCCTGGAAAGCGCTATGCACCATTTCTGCCTGGGAACAAAAAGGAAGAGGGAAATTTAAATGTTTGAGCTCCTAAACAAAGAGTTACCACCACCAGCAATTCCACCTCTAGGTATAGACCCAAGAAAAATGAAAACGTATGTCCATACAAAAACTTATAAATTCATTCACAGCAGCATTATTCACAATAGCCGAGATAAGGAAACAACCAGAATGTCCATTAGCTGATGAATGGATAAACAAAATGTGATATATCCATACAATGGAATATTATTCAGTATTAAAAAGAAATGAAGTGCTGATGCATGCTACCACATGGGTGAACCTTGAAAACATTATGCTGAGTGAATGAAACCAGTCAAAAAGGCCACATTGGTATGATTCCATTGATATGAAATGTCCAGAATAAGCACATCTATAGAGACAGAAAGATTAGTGGTTTCCAGGGGCTGGGGGGAGGGTGGAATGGGGAGTGACTGCTAATGGGTCCAAGGTTTCTTTTGGGGGTGATGAAAATGTTCTGGAATTAGACAGTGGTGATGGTTTCACAACTTGGTGAATATACTAAAAACCATTGAATTGTACACTTTAAAAGAGTAAATGTTATGATATGTGAATTATATCTCAATATCTCTGTTAAAAAATGTTTGAGCCCTAAAGTGCAATTTTTTTCAAAGGGTATCTCTCCTGTCCTCTTTCATGGTGTGCTCAAATCTGTTTCATACCTTCTGGTGGAAAGAGAATTGTCCCTTAATAAAGATATGCTCGCTGAGAGCCAGTGGCTTCTACAACTATTCCTTAAGATGGATCCGGAAGAGATTTCAGTGCCACTTGGACTCAACCTCCCAAAAAGGAGTTGTACAGGTGGGAATGTCTTAAAACACATGGTATCATATTCTCTTATCCTCACCTTTTACCCACTCTTAACTAATTAACGAATTCTTTAATTTTTTTAATTTAAAAAGTTACAGAAGAGTACCAAGAAGAAAATAATTCCAAATATTCATATCACACACAGTTAGTCATTTTTGGCATTTTTTTCCTAGTTTTTAAGAAAATTTACACAGTTGTTTTCATAAGACAAAGCATAATGATTTAGAATAATGGTTTAAATGCCAAAAGTTACAAAGATGAAAGTTTATAAAAATGCTTTACAACCCAGAAATAATCATTATGAACATCAGATGAACATTATTGCAGCCACCTCTTAAAGATATATGCACAGAGACACTTTTATAAAATGGGATCATACCCTAGGTGCTATTTTTAAAAATAAAAAGTATAAATAATTATGACTGAACAGTAGCAGTGAAAGAGAAAAAAATGATAAACTTCAAATAAAAGTTTCTGCAGTATAATTATTATGTCTCAAATGATCATTCTAAAGTAAAAACAAAAAGATTACAAAATATTAAGAGACTGAAATAATTATGTGTTTGCTTTTTAAACTACATGATATTATTTTAGACAATATTGATCGACTCCTTGCTGGGAAAGATAAGTACTCTCTCCCTTCTTTCTATCTCTGGTCCTCTATCTTCCATATTTTTTAGTTATTATTTTTCTCAATTGATAGTATTCAGATTCTCCCTGTAATATTAATTCCCATAGTTGTTTAGGATTAGTTCTACATTTAAACATACCTAGTGGTTCTCACCAGTCATTTTACCATGACTTCTTCGTTTCTGAGTTATTTCGATATTTTTTTATTGGCTAGACTCTCGTTATCAAGTATTTTCTTCAAAAAAGTCTCAAAGTTGCTTTAGTTCTTCAGGTTTAAGCATGTCTCCCTGTCGTCTTTATATTTTAACAACATCTTGGCTCATATAACATCCTTGGGTCTCTCTCTCCATTTTCAAATAACACGGCACTAAATGTGGCAAGGGAGAAATCTGAAGCTAGCTTGATTTTTTTCTCCCTTGTAGGAAATTGACTTTTTCTGGTTTGACACCTGAAGAATTATTTCTTTATCCTTGGAGTTTAATAGTTTAACTAAGACATGTTTAAGTTTTGAGCATTCTATATCACATTTCCTGGAATAGATTTGGTCCTTTATTCAGTTCTGGCAAATTTTCTTCTATTATATCTTTCAATTATCTTCTGTTCCATTTGTTAGAATCTCTATTCAGAGACTCCAATTATTATCCTCAGATTATAGAATATATATATATATATATATATTTTTTTTTTTTTTTTGCAGGGGAAGATTCACTCTAAGCTAATATCTGTTGCCAATCTTCCTCCATTTTTTTTCTTCCTTTCCTTCCCCCAAAGCCCCAGTACATAGTTGTGTATAGTTGTATGTTCTTCTGGTTCTTCTGTATGAACCACCACCATAGCATGGCTGCTGACAGACAAGTGGTGTGGTTCCATGCCCGGGAACTGAACCCAGGCCGCCCAAGCAGAACATACCCAACTTAACCACTAGGCCATCCGGGTTGGCTCAGATTGTATAATATTTGAATGTCTTCATATCTTTTAGATTCCTTCTCTGCCTTTAATTTCCTTGTCTTTCATCTGTATTTACTGTGATTATATAAATACTTTATTGTTAGTAAACAGATTTTCAACAGTCTCATATACATTAATGTTTCCCTTTATGTATCATTTCTGCATTAATGTTGTTTTTGTTCTTGATTTGTTAGACTTTCAATTTCCCTTTTCACTTCATTCTTATGAAATTTTTGTTTTAGCTTATTGCTTTATCGCTTTGCTTTAAGTTATTTAAAAAATACATTTATACTCTAAGTTTTAAGAGTATAAGTTATATTTTTATTAAGCCATTGTGAAGAACATGTTTCTGTTCCTTAAGTTTTACTTTCTTTGAGGGCTAGTCTGTGTCTTTCCTTTTCCAGGCTATTTTCCTTTCTCACACACTATTTGTAGCCGCCATGTGGGTGATTCCTTAAGCCTTTTGCCACCATATTGGAGATCAGTTAATTTTCCCTTCCAAGCAACAGTCTGAGGGCTAATTGCTTTGTGTTCTATCCACTCTTCTAAAAGCTGATGGCACCGGAGGATATGGAAAGGAAGAACTCAGCTGAGGTGACGTCTAGTCTTTATTTGAGAATTTGGGTGCTGCTCATTCTTCTGGGAATATGTTAAATGTCCTAAACCAGAATTCACTCCACCTACTTGGAACACAGACCATTCTGATGGAGGGTCCCCTCAGATTTTAGATCATTTCTCCATTCAGAACACAGACGTGGGGCCTTTACATTCACAGATGGAAGCAGCGTCATGGTTTCCTTGTCCTGTTTCATATTTTCCTCTCCTAATTTCATTTCTTTTAAGGTAGATCTTTAAGGGGGTGGGGAATCGGGGCAGAGTTAGGAACCGAAAGCTGCTCAGCCTTCAGTTACTGAAATGTATTGCTTTAGGTTATGGCTTTTTAGTTTAGTTACTATCAGCGAAAAATTTTTTTTTTACCTTTTTTTTTGGCTCATTTCTGCAGAGGGAAAAATTCTGATTCAGTTTTATTCGGTCATAAACTTTTATTCTTTTATATATTCTTTTACACTTATTGATTTCATCTTTCATCTCCTCCTTGTTATCGTCACATCTATTTTGGGGCAGTTTCTCTCTCTCTGCCATCTTGGATAATGACTGATTTCTCTGATAGACAGGTAAGAACCAGCTTAATACATTTTCAGAAACAGATAACTAGAACAGCAACAACAGGATTAGGTTAATTTCATCCCAGTGCCAATATCAAACAATTTTCCGGGCTAGAAGGGTAAATGTGTTAACTAACTGGGAAATGACTAGTTTTTGTCATTCCACTTCTTTATCACATTTTGGTATCTGATGAATTTTCCAAAATATTTACTGAAATGAGCACCTTAATCTTGTTTCTAACTGTTCTCATTATTTATCATCCAAGGACTTTTTTTTTCCTACTGAGAAGAAAATGCTTGAAATCAAACCAAGATTTGTAGACCATTTACATTTAAAATCACAAATTCAATTATCATCAATATAACAGACTAAGTCTCATGAATGTTTAAATGAGGGTATATTTTCCATTTTGGTGTATACCATCTCCTCTTCTCTTTGTCCAGTAGCCTGATTGCTGGGATTATATTGCCCAAAACCTCAAATTTTGGATATTCCTTAGGGAAGACAGAGGATGTTCAAATTTTATGGTCCTGGAGGCCATTATGACCCTATGAATGTGAAGCTCTAGGCTGCATGAATGTTTATCCATGTATCAAAATGTGTATTTTCAATGGTTCAGAAGAAATTTTGTCAGTCTCTCATGATGACATTTCCAAAAACAAGACTATGAAACATAACTTTCTACAGCTTGGATATACATAAAATAACTGCACTTCTCCCAGCAACGATAATATAGAGGAAGCATCCTCATCTATGACGAGCCTTGCAGAGTTGACTGAATTGTAGTTGCTGTGGGAACAGTAATTCAGCTGACTTCTGTAGTTAAAACTGCAGCTCAAAGGTGGCATTAACAATATTTTTGTAGTTATCCCAAGACGAACACTATCATTAGCCTTTTTTACTTTCCCTGGTTACAACATTTAGCCTGTTGCTAATAGAACAATTTTCTGGGTCTGATTAGCAAAGATGGCCAATTTCATTAATTAGTCTCTTCCCCCAAATGGCCTTTCACTCAACAACAGGGGTGGAGGTTGGAGTGGAGAAGAGCTGAATACCCAGATATCTGCTTCAACTCTCCCTTTCACTTTGCTTATGCAGACAAATCTTTCCAAGGATTCAGCTGTGCACTTCTTCCAGCTCCCTGGAACTCTGGCATAATTAGCAAACTCTAAACCGCACTCATTTTTAACCTCATCAGTCCATGTTTCAAAGGGTTTTCATTCCACATTTCAGATATTCTGATCCACCTGCTTCTTACTTCTGGAAAGTTCCGTGAGTCCCCTCAACCAGACAGCATCCTATTTAGGAGCAATTTTGCTAAACCCGCTGAGTTCTGACAACTTGAAAGGGAGAATTTGGCTCAGTCAGGCAGTTCAAAACACGGTGAAAGAAAAAGCCAAACGGAGGGATTT